ACCCATACCCTAACCCTAACCATAACCTTAACCCTAACCCTAACCCTTACCCTTACCCTAACCCTGACCCTAAAACTAACCCTAATCCTGACCCTGACCATAACCTTCACCCTAACCCTAACCCAAACAAGTTTAACCAAGAAATATTTATTTATCACAATTATGAAGGCTGGAGGGTTTGAAACCAAAGACACTAACCTGTCCAAATTCATACGTTTTCTTACATTTTGGGGTCTTTGTTTTTATCCTTGTGGTAACGTAAATGGTATCGAGCATTGAATATTTTCCTGAAAAATCTCAATTCAATAGATTGTTTTGAATGATTTAATTTCAAATAAGGACTTTTAACTAAGGTTAAATATATAGTTAGTTCAGTAAAACGACAACTGGTTGGATGCAACAGCAGCATTCCTGTATAACAGCAGATTAAAGCTGTTTTCCCACATGTAGAGTTGAATATTTCAGTATGGTGACAGCCATAGAGCAGACTGCTGCTGTAAGGTGGTGTGTTCCCCTCCATCTTGGCTCTGGAGGCTCGATCGGCTCTCCTGGATGGCGTCTCCAGGCCGTGGGTGGTCTGGAGCTCAGAGGATTAGCGTCCTGGATGCTCTTTCTTCCCTTTTGTGTGCTTTTTCTGGTTCTGGAGCCCTGGTTTCTGTGCCCAGCTGTGTGGGAGGGGCAGAGGCTGTACGCCTCCCATCTGCTCTCTCCATAATTAACCTTTGTGGAGCAGAACATCACAAAACGAAACACCAAAACGCTCCCCGCTGCTGTTCCATGTTTGTAGAGGTTCATCTTTAGGAGCAGCTCCAGGCCTCCGGGTTTCAGTTCAATTCAATTCAATTATTTCATTTAATTGCTCATGACCATATACATGGTTTGGAGCACAAACAATAAATATAACAGAACAAAGTAACGCATATACAATAAAACTATAACTTCATCGATATAATGGGAGGACCCACTTAAAAAAGCACCCAACTTACAGTGGGGGAAATAAGTATTTGAGCCCTTGCTGATTTTGCAGGTTTGCCCACTTACAAAGAATGCAACGATCTATAACTTTAATCATATGTACATTCTAACAGTGAGAGACAGAATCCCAAAGAAAATTCCAGAAAATCACATCATATGAATTTATAAAAATTGATAACCATCTGATGAGGAAAAATAAGCATTCTTTGTAAGTGGGTAAACCTTATTTTACCTCATCAGATGGTTAGCAATTTTTATAACTTCATATGATGTGATTTTCTGGAATTTTCTTTGGGATTCTGTCTTTCACTGTTAGAATGTACAT